GCTTAATTTATTGATGAGGATGGGGTGAGAGACAGTGTCAAAGGCCTTCTTAAAGTCTAGAAAGACTACGTCCATGGTGACGCCATTATCCAAGGATTTAGTTACTTGGTCATAAAAGGCAATCGGGTTGGTCAGGCAGGACCTGCCTTTGATGAACCCATGCTGGTTGCCCCTGAGCATGATCTCCCCTGCGGACCCCCCACAGATGTGCTCCTTGATGATTCTCTCCAAGATCTTCCCGAGCACCAAGGTGAGGCTTACAGGCCTACAGTTACTTGGGTCCTCCTTCCTCCCTTTCTTGAAAATTGGGACCACATTAGCCAGTTTCCAATCCCCCGGCACCTGGCCAGATGACCACGAATGCTCATACAGCCGGGCCAAGGGCTCCGCAATGACCCCTGCCAGCTCCCTCAACACCCTTGGGTGGAGGGCATCTGGACCTCTAGCCCTTCCAGAAGATCCCTAACTACATCTGCGCTGACTGAAGGCCTGAGAGAGTTATCCCCAAGATTGTCCCTACCTCTGGTAGGTGGGATGTCCCGGTCCCTGTTCAAGAAAACAGAGGCAAAGAAACTGTTAAAAATATCAGCTTTCTTTTGTAAAAAATAATTTCCTGCTTTGTTCCTCTCCCTGTTTCATGGAGGGACATGACCTCTGTGTTCAGGTGCATTCTCTGTTAGCCTTTTTAAGTTATGCTTGTTAGCGTGGAAGTTTGGATACTTTAGTGTTCACAGTTTCCAATTTTGTTTTCTTGATGTGCTAGACTGTACCAGAAGGATACAAGAACATTATTATTATTTTTTTTTTTTTTACTTTGGATACTAAATTTTAATCTTTCTGGCATTGTTTCACCAAGGTGAAGGGTATTTTCAGTTGCTATGTATTTAAGCTGCTTTACTGTTTCTTGTTCAAACAGGGAAGATAATTCCTTACAGCCTCCAGATGCATGCCGGATTCATGGCCATCTTTATGTCAATAAAGTGGCAGGGAACTTTCACATAACCGTGGGCAAGTATGTTCTGTTCAGTTGCTGAAAATACTACAAAATGACTGTGACAGATATCTTCATAATTAAGAAAAAATGCTTTGAGTGCCTATTGCGTAGCTAGATGCTTTTCTTGTTAATACAGTTTGGCTTCTTGATCATAATTTTTTTTCATGCAATATCTCTTGGTACAGTTGAACCACCACTTTGACTGTAATTAAAAATGAAGAATTTTGAATTCTTGAAAATCTGTTTAAGCAGCTTCTTATTTGTTCACCAGTATTGCCACAGTGAACCCTTGTAGCTAATTAGGTGAAAGAATAGCTTTTCACTTCTCTTAATCTCTATGCTCTTGCTAAATCCTTTTGCTGCCTACTTTTTAGTATCTGCCCAGATCAGCCTTATAACTGGGGCCTCTACCCATAATGTATCATAGTATCCTTCTGCCTGGTTTCCCAGTCTCTTATCCATCTACTTTTTCATTTGTGCTAATGTGTAGGGGGAATTCCTTTAATTTAGTTGTCTGTGGAGGGTGGGGGTCAGCACTGGTCATGAGGATGTAATGAAGCACAGGTAAGGAAGTCTGGTGGTCCCAAAGGGGTGAGGGAGAGGGGCATTCCATTTTCCATTTCATTTTGTTCCTTCTCCACTGTTTCTGGTGCCCCCCCCAACTTCCTTTCTGTTGCTTCCACCCTGTCCCAGTGCACAAACTGCACAGGCCTGCAAATGAGACTGACTCTGTATCTAGTCAAAAGACAAATGCAATGAAGAAATGCAGTTGGACTATTATACAGAATTTTGATCGTGTAGGATTGACATCTCTCTCCATTGCAGTCTGCTGGCCAGTCTGTGGCTTGTTTGTTTGTTTTTTTTTCACAAAAAATAGATTATTTGGTGGAGGATTTTCTTGAGTTCAGTGTCATTTTCAGATGTTGTTTTGGTTCTTTTTATGAGCAGTCAAAACTATTTTGTCAAGGCCTATTCAAAATAAGAGAAACCGGTAACTTGCTTGGAGGAACTCAAGTTTTTTTTAACTGAGCTTCTTTCCATAAACCAGTGTTTCATACAACATATCTCTCTTCTTTCTTTAGGGCAATCCCTCATCCCAGAGGCCATGCACACTTGGCAGCCCTTGTGAGCCATGAAGGTAAGATTTCTGAACCCCCCCCCCCCCCCCCCCCCCCCTTCTCACTCCCTTTTTTTCAAATAAACAGTATCAATGTGCGCACACATCTTGACAGGATCAGGAATAAATTATTTTGTGCATTTTATTTATACAACTCAATCTTTCCAACAAAGTTAGTCTCTCAAATCTGAAATGTGAACTGTAGACTGGTACCACTGTTTGACCACCTAGAGGTTTCCTGGGCTGTGAAACACCTTTTTTTTTTTTTTAAATCTTTAACTCGGCTATTGTATGTGCCTGCATACTTTTCTTTACGATTAACTCCAAGAAGTGCCAAGGCAAAATGGAACATACTGTCGTTTAAACATTGCAGATGTTTGTAGTAAGGCGCAACTTGGGATTTGGGAAAATAAAATCCTGGGACCAGTTTTGTTCAATGTCTTTATCAGTGACCTGGAAGATGGCAGAGTGCACCCTCAGCAAGTTTGCTGATGACACCAGGCTGGGGGGGATTAGTAGATATACTGGAGGGAAAGGCTAGGATTCAGAGTGACCTAGACAAATTGGAGGTTTGGGCCAAAAGAACTCTCCTGAGGTTCAACAAGGACAAGTGCAAAGTCCTGCACTTAGGATGGAGCAGTCCCATGCACCAGTACAGGCTGGGAGCTGACTGGCTGGGCAGCAGCTCTGCAGAAAAGGACCTGGGGGTTGCAGTGGCCAATAAGCTGAATATGAGCCAGGAGTGTGCCTTAGTTGCCAAGAAGGCTAATGGCATACTGGGCTGGTAGTTGTGTTGCCAGTTGGTCCAGGGAAGTGATTATTCCCCCCTATTCAGCCCTAGTGAGGCCACATCTGGAGTACTGTGTTCAGTTTTGGACCGCCCACTCCAGAAAGGATGTGGACAAATTGGAGAGAGCCCAGCGAAGGGCAACAAAATGGTGAGGGGGCTGGGGCACATGTATTATGAACAGAGGCTGAGGGAACTGGGCTTATTTAGTCTAGAGAGGAGAAGACTAAGGGAGGATTAAATAGCAGCCTTCAGCTAACTAAAGTGGGATTCCAAAGAGGAGGGAGCTAGACTGTTCTTAGTGTTGGCAGATAACAGAACAAGGACAATGTAGCAGAAAGCCCCCTTTTCCTCTTGCCTGCATTTGCTCTCCCCTCTTTGGATATGTTTCTCTTTTTCTACCTTTTCTTCCTTCCTCTCTCTTTCACTTTAAGATAAGGAATTGTGTTTTAAAATTTGTATGTGTGCATTTTGTATCTCCCCTTGTAGTTTGGTATTTTTATCTATTTGTGTGCCATGGCATTTGTAGCTTATATCTTATACTCCTCACCTTTCAACTAAACGTGTTTTAGTAAGTTATACATTGTAACAATGTTAACAAGGGCAGGAATCAAACTGCCCTTCCTTGTATCAGGCTGGCTCCTGAAAGAGCGAGTGAATCAGTGATTGAATGTGTAACGTGATTGAATGTGTAACATAAACGTCACTGATCAAGGGCTAGAAGCCCTGGCCTGAGTTAATCAACGCCAGAGACCAACTTTTGGGCTGAATATCCCCAGATCGACCACTCCCAGAGCCCTATTCTAAATTCCTCAATGGACTCCCAAACCTGCACGTACATGCAGACGACCCCTGGGGCTGACAGATGTCGTCCGGTAGCCACCGGGGGAGTCCCATGAGGGTCAATGACCCCTGGATTGGGCAAACCTGAAAACTGGGGAGTCACCAAAGTCTGCCAAGGACAGATAAAAGGCAGTGAAAAGTGACCCTCAGTGGCGCCCTCTTGATCTCCAACTCGACCAGACCTGTCCAGCCAGAAGGACCAGCCGGCGACCCCCTTCTGGAAGATAACACCACGCTGAAAGAAGCCTCAACGACAGACTCCAGCGCTTGTAGGATAGGTATACCTGACTCTGTAGCCTGCTACTGTGTGTGTGCATATGTGTGTGTGCGTGTGTGTGTGTGTGTGTGTGTGTGTGTGTGTGGGGACCAGCCCCAAGGTTTATGATTACAGTGTTTCAATCCGCCTAATAAACTAGAATTTTAAGGATCCCGAGTTGGACATTTGTAGCCAACAACAACGGTCTCCAGTTGCAGCAAGGAAAGTCTAGGTTGGGTATTAGGAAGAATTTTCTGACTAGGAGGGTAGTAAAACACTGGAACAGGTCCACAACCCCTCTGGGTAACTCTCCGTCCTTGGAGGTATTTAAGACCCGGCTAGACAAAACCTTGGCTGGGATGATCTAGTTGGGGATGGTTCCTACTTTGAGCAGGCGGTTGGACTAGATGGCCCCCTGAGGTCCTGTCCAACCCTAATAGTCTATGATTCTAGTAAATGCTCATCTGTTAACATTTTTATATTTGTCTCTCAAAGGAGTTGAATATTCAACTAGATGCATTTCCTATTATGACGATTGTGTAAGCTATAGTATTTGATATTTCTTCCAGAAAATCTTATTTGGTGGTTGTTGTCTGTTACCTTTCAGCATACAACTTCTCTCATAGAATAGATCATTTGTCTTTTGGAGAGCTTATTCCAGGAATTATTAATCCTTTGGATGGAACAGAAAAAATTGCATCAGATCGTAAGTATTGTATGATTGAAAGTGAATTTGGAATCTGAGAATTTATTTTAATTTTAGCTTAAAAGAATTAGTGCTCTTTTCTTGAATGCTACCCGATACAAATGTAAAATGTTGTTAAATTGGACATCTGTAATGCAGCTTTGAGTTGCTGTTTTTATTTACACTGCATCATTAATGAATTGGTTCAATGCCAATGGGTGTTTTTTTTGCTACTTCTGAAGATGATGTGCAGTTTCTCACACATGCACATCTATGCCTACACTATATTTACATTATGGGTACGCCAGTCATGTAGCTTGGACAGTGCTAAAGGACCCTGCAGCTATGTATTATGGTGGAGACACAGAGCCCCTTGCTATTTTAAAGGAGAGAATGTCTGAGAGTGTGACTGAGCTTCAGGATTTCCAGGTTGTGCTCCTGTAGTGGTTGCTAAAATACAATGTCATCTCTGGCAATCATTTAAATTTCCTCATGTATAAATTTAAGACATACCTTTTTCGCAGGAGTATCATGATGATTAATCTATGAATACTTGACACATTCATTTGTTAGTATTCAAAACCAACTGAGGTCTTTGGATGCATTGTTTTAAAGTAACAATAGCAGCAGTGCTTGTCAATGGTAGGTATATTGGCCTAACTGTTTAAAAGAAATTAAATGACTTGCTAAAAAACTTCATAACCCTAGCTCTTTGATCAGACAGTGATGCAGATTAGTTGGTGATGATCTGAAATATTTAACTTGAAATCATCATTTTAGTTTGATCAGTGCTTTGTTAGGATGGTGAAAGGACTTTATAAAGTACTGTTTGCTTACTACGTGTTCTCAAAGCATTTGTCTCCTCAGAGGAAATTTGCTAGGTGTTGCCAGTGTTGGAAGCTCTTGTGCATACAGTGCTGTGGCTGAAGTCACCATTTTAACTGCTTTTGACAATAGAGCCTATTGCTATACACAGGTTTACATGATATGGGGTTAATAACAATGGTAGGAACGTCAGGCTTTCCACTCTAGGGCTCCAAATAGATTCATGAGGTTGCATAACCTTGGAATTGAGCAGCCTGATTGCTTTCAGTGGGGCTATGCACCATGTGTAATACTAGCTCCTTCTAGGCCCTGACATTGGAAATCAGAATTCCCCCAGTATAGACCAAAGTTAATAGGTAACATTTATCCCATAGTCCTTTCAGAATATGCTTTTAAATGTTTCCCAAATGATTTTATAACCTATAATTAATGTTAATTTTTAGTGAGATTTGTTTGTGTTTCAGACAACCAGATGTTCCAATATTTTATCACAGTTGTGCCAACAAAACTCCATACGTATGAAATTTCAGCAGAAACTCATCAGTTTTCTGTGACAGAAAGGGTAAGTCCAAGCTAGAAACAGTTCAAAGAGACTGTGTGGCAGCAATGATGCATTTTTGTCTAAGCTCAGTGTGAAACACTGAGACTCAGATTGGTTTTTGTTCCCTTTGGGCATGAGCACACACTGAAATATCCCAAGGTTTGTTGGGTTATTTGTAAATGGTGTAACATGAATGCAAACTGTTATATGTTTGGTGACATGTGGTGCAAACACCTACTCAGGACTCATTCAAAAGGCGTTTGGATGCTTATCTTGTTGGAATCATTTGTTCCCAGAATCCCTGCCTCTGGCAGGGGGGCTGGACTTGATCTCACGAGGTCCCTTCCAGCCCTTAATGTCTATGAAAGAAGCTAATGCAAAAAAAATGAACTTCCAGAAATCTTGATTCACAGCATCAGAATTGATGATTGGCAGCCTACCTTTCCTACTTAGTTTTCAGTATTAGCATCAAATGATCTCGCAAAAATCATTGCAACAATATACTGTCATGCAAGTTCTATGCTATGTTTAGATTTTTTTTCCTTTTGGGAAGCAGAAGCTTTTATAAGGCTTTGAAGTTCTCATAGATTAGACTTGGTACTGGATTGTCAGAAATGGACAGAGTGGTTTATTCAGGCAACGCAAGGATACATAAAGCTTCTGTCTTTTGCATCCCAGCTCTTTTGCTGTGCATTTGCTGAAGTACCTATTGCTAGTCATTTAGATGCTTACTTATGAGACTTCTGTCATCTTTAGCCATGGAGATAGTTCTCTTATCTATCTTCGTGCCTAAATACCACATGTTTAAAAAAAGAAAACCAGATGTATAAAAAAAAGGAAACTTACTCCTTCCCAAATTCTGTTATGCGGAAGAGGCTTTGTAGCATAGTACAGTAAGATGTCTTGTTATCAGTTCCCTCGGCAATCATAAAACTCAGAAAAATCTTGATATTCCCAAGGCAAAGAAATGGGCTTACAAAAATTTGAAGTAAAAAAGGCAGGCAGGTGGTACTGTGTTTGAAAGGTGTTTGTTTTTTTTGGAGTGCTAGATCACTAAATTATAACTTAACTGAAACATCAATTGCATATCTTGCATTGAGAATAAAGAATACTAGACTGCTTAAGGGCAAGGCAGGTGGGTATAGAAGGGGTGTTTGAGTTTATGTACACATACTACATTAGCCAGGCCTGTGGAGGGGAATAAGGAACGATATGCTAGGTGTGTCTACACGAGATGCTACTTTGCCATAGCAATGAGCTACAGCTACATATCTCATCGCTATGGCGATGTAGTGTCAGCAGGCGCAAACCATGATGCCACTGCTGCTGCAGGCTTGTTGCTGCTGTGCAGTAGGGTGGAAAATGACCCGTGTGCCGGTGGGTACTGTGCAGTCAGGAGCACGTGTAGTCCGCTGTTCAACAAGGCCTTTATAACTGTTGAGGAAATTAGCTGTTAGTTCACTACAGAATTAAAAATAGGGGCAAAAAGTAGGGAAATGATCAATGATCTGCATTGTGTAAGATGTTATTAGTCACCCCATTCCTCCAGCTCATCAAATATTTTTACCAAGCCACTCTGCTGTACACAGTCTTGTTGCTTATTTGCAGGTTTGAGGTGTCAGGGCCTGTCTTTCTAAATTTCTCTGCCTTTCTGACCATCCATTTAATTGTCACAGTTGTCACTGCTATGGAAACTTCTTTTACCTCTGTGATCACACTGAGCTCTGTGCATTACTGGGTGATTCAATTTGTAGGAAAGGTGCTACAGGAATACAGTAAACAGTTTATAAGCAACTGAGATTTACGTGGGGTTGTGTTGTACCCCAGAGCAAGCAAGCAAACCTACTTGCTACTGTTTTGTCTTTTCTTTTAGCTAGAAAATGCATTAGGGGAGGTTATAAATAGGGACCTTGACAGCGCAAAAGCACCTTTAATCTTGTTCTTTTCACCATGGGTCTCTCCTCCCATGCAGCTGAGTGGCTGAGAGGCAGTTAAGGCTGTGGTTTTTGCCTCTCGGCCATCAGCCACAGAGTGGATGGGGGTGTGCAACGAAAAGAGTGAAGTTAAAGGGGCTGATGCACCATGAACTGCTGCTGTGATTTAGGTAGGACTCTAGTTATAAAGGAGGATAACTCTTGAGTGAATCGGTTGTATTACACTTGGGACATGCCCAGTAGGCCTGTGTGAAGCAGCAAGTATTCGATTCAGATTTGGATTAATCCTATTTGGAGGGACAGTGATGTGATTTGAATCACTGTCCCAAATTTTGATTTGGCCGAATCAGATCCGAAAATTCAGCACAGTCCTTGACACTGGACATAGCTGCCTCCACTCCAGCTGGTAAGTCTGTTGTGGTGTGCAGAGTGGGGAGAGAAGGGTGGTGGGGGGTGCAGATTAATGCTGCCACAACAAGGGAGTGGTTGGGGTTGGGGTTGGGGCTGGGACAAGCTGCCCAGCCGGGGCAAAGGGGTGGTGCAGGACTTTGGGAGGGGGGTGGACTGCGCGCCCTAAAACTTGCTATAGCCCCCGCTCCACTGCCTGCTCTGCCCCAGTCCAGAGGCCCCCCTCCATGCCTTGCCACTGCTCGCCCAGTTGGGGCGAAGTCACTTCTTGTCCAGGAGGTGCAGGGAGGCTGGACCGTCTCCCTCCACTGTGTGCCGCTTGTACGGAGGCAGCCCAGTGGCTCAGTCTCACGCTGGCCCCACACCAGCTGGGTGAGTGGCGGGGCGGCATAGCCCCTGCTCCTGGCATGTTCCACCTCCTGTCTGGTGCAGCCCCAGCCCTGCCTGCCCTGCACCGATCATGGGCCACACTCCCCCACCCCATGTTCTCCCAGACCGGCAGTGGGAGCTGCTTGACAAGCTGGCACATGAGGAGCTCCCAGACTGGTGGCGCACAGCGGCACGAGCTGCCCCAGCCTGGGTCCCGGCCCCAGCCCCAATCCCTCCCTTGCTGGGGGGGTGTTAATCTGCTCCCCCCTCCCCCCCCACCCC